TGTCCTCTTTTGGAAGACCAAACAAAGTAGTTTCGCTTTCACAATGAAACACAGCGTCACACACCGCGGGGACTAGAGTATGCGGAGGCTGTCTAGAGTGAGCGGTGGCGGGCTTGAGAACGGCGCGGCCGGCGGATTCAACGAAGGAGGCTTGCAGCAAACACATGTGACAACCCCGGGCTGGACTCCGCTTCGTCCACGGTGAAAGCCAATCCGGCGATCCACAGCGCAAAGTTGTTGTATTCCCTCAGCGACCAGCACGGATCAGCTCCAGGCATGACGAAGCGGATATCGTCCTCTTTTGGAAGACCAAGCAAAGTAGTTTCGCTTTCACAACGAAGCACACAGCGTCTTCACGACATGGTGGCGGCGGCAGCAACAATACTACAGCGAGAATAAAAGTTGCGCCTTCTTTCTTTGCGTGAACATTTGGGCGGCGTTATGCAAATCTTCCCACATAGTGATGTAGACATGTGGGGGCGTGTTAGAACGAGCCGTTTTAGGGGGGCGTGGTTGACTCTGAACTTTTATAAAGAATATCTCTTTGGATTTGAGACTTTAGTCTTTGCAACTTTACAGATCTTCTTTATGCACCAAGAGCTTGTAACACTCCAAAGAGAAAGGAACAATTGAAATCACATCATATGACCCCTTTAATATATTTACGGTAGGAAATTTACAAATATCTTCATGGAACATGATCTTTACTTAATATCTTAATGATTTTTGGCATAAAAGAAAAATACAAAAATGTATTTTTGACTTAAGACTGCTTTTGTGCTCCAGGGCCACATATGTTTAGAAACAAGGTCAGCAAAATATCATGAGTTTTATGTTTTATCTTTATTTAGTTTTTATTCAGTTTTATTAGATTTTTTATATATATATATATTCCATTTTAATTTTAAAGTTTTAGTAATTTTGTTGCGTGTTTTTGTCATTATTATTGGATTTTTAAAAATATGTATATATAGTTTTTATTCATTTTTATTTGCGTTTTAGTTTGTTATTTTAATACATGAAGTTAAACTGAATGAAATTGTGGCCTTGTCAACTAGCTGAAATAAAATATTTTTTATAGATTTTAATTTAATTTTATTTCAAGTAACAGCTTTTATTAGTGGTTTTAATTTTAGTGAATGATAACGCTGACCTGCACACTATATGAGATCAACTGATCGTTGTTTTGTCTCATATTCACTCCAGTCTAGTTTTAGTATCATTGAGAAAGTATTATTAGTTTTTATTAGTATTTTAGTTTAGTTTAATTTTTATATTTTCAGTTTTTATTTAAATTTTAGCTAAAGTTTTAGCAATTTTGTTGTGTTTGTTATTTTTATAAGTTTTTTTATTTGTATATATATATATATATATATATATATATATATATATATATATATATATATATATATATTTCTTTTCTCATTTTCTCACATTGAAAAAAAGGTTTGAACAGACCAATCAAAATAAAATCAACATGCACAAAAAACAAAAAAAAAGTTCTAATCATCCTGTTGAGTTTATGGACGTCCCGCCTGCACTACAAGAGTCCGACTGAAGCACGTGTCCTGTCATGAGCTGTAGATGGTGCAGGCCTTAATGTCTTTTTAATTGCGCATATATTTATTTATTTATTTTTTTATAACATTTTTATTTCCAATTTAGTTATTTTAGAACATCAAGTGAAACTAAGTAAAAATGAGAAATGTTGCCTTGGCAACTAACTAAATAAAGTAAGTTTAAGATTTTTTGTTTATTTTATTTCAGTTAAAGTTTTTTATTTCAAGCAATGAATGTTTTAATTTAGTTAATTATAATAACCTTGATTCACACTTAATCAGTATGTCATATTTATTGTATTCAAATACATTTAGCAGATTTTCGCCCACAGTCTGCATTGAATTTTGTGAAAAGTGTCCAGTTTTCATGCAGCCCTCATCTTTAGTAATTATCATTAGCTTTGTTTAAAGGAATACTAATTAACTTCATATTTAATAGTTTTGCTGCCTCTTATTTGTCTTCCTGATGTGATTATAGAAATATTCCGTTGACACATGTATTTGTCAACATGGTTAATGCATTCAACTTTTAAAAGTGTCTGATATTGAGTCTTTATCTCAGATCGGACCTGAATCTTGTCGTTAAACGTGTGTCTCTCGGTGTGTGTGTGTGTGTGCGCGTTTGTATGTGTGTGTGTGTGTGTGTGTCTGTGTGTGCGTATCTGTGTGTGCGTTTGTGTGTATGCGTGTGTTTGTTTGTGTGTGTGTGTGTGTGGTGTCTGTGTCTGTGTGTGTGTGTGTGTGTGTGTCTCTGTCTGTGTGTCTGTCTGTCTGTCTGTCTGTCTGTCTATGTGTGGTGTCTGTGTCTGTGTCTGTGTCTGTGTGTGTGTGTGTGTGGTGTCTGTGTATGTGTGTGTGTGTGTGTGTGTGTGTGTGTGTGTCTCTGTCTGTGTGTCTGTCTGTCTGTCTGTCTGTCTGTCTATGTGTGGTGTCTGTGTCTGTGTCTGTGTCTGTGTGTGTGTGTGTGTGGTGTCTGTGTATGTGTGTGTGTGTGTGTGTGTGTGTGTGTGTGTCTCTGTCTGTGTGTCTGTCTGTCTGTCTGTCTGTCTGTCTATGTGTGGTGTCTGTGTCTGTGTGTGTGGGTGTGTGTGTGGTGTCTGTGTATGTGTGTGTGTGTCTCTGTCTGTGTGTCTGTCTGTCTGTCTGTCTGTCTGTCTTCATGGCTCCTAGTTTCCCAGATAAGCAGCGCTGGGTGGCTGTTCTGGAGTCAGTGGTGGCTGGCAGCAGAGGATCCCGAGAGAAAAGCGAAGCGGACTCTGTGAGTCAAAGTTTCCTTCAGTCCCTCTGCGTTAATGAATCCTTCAGGATGATAATTACTCCTGTGTCAGCTTCAGTCTGACTCTTTATGACCTCATGAAACGGGTTGACTGATGCAGTTTCCAGAGATACTGAAGGGCTCATTCTTTGTTAAATCCAGCAGGCTTTGGTTTAATTTGTCACTGCAAAAGTATGAGTAACTGCTTGCTATTACTGTACAGAAGCCCCTGTGAGCAATGGTGTTAACACTGTTATTTTAGTATTATTTATATGATAATATAATATTAATATAGTTGATAATTAATGTAGTATTTATTAATATAGTCTAATTTGATTTGATTTTTTTCATTTAATTTTAGTTTGAGTTTTAGTAATTTTATTGTAATTTTATCTATATATTTAAATATTTATTTTTTTAGATTTAATGTAATTTTATTTATTTGTTTTTCAATTTGAGTTCATTAGTAATTAACAAATAATTTTAGTACTTCAACTTCAAATTATTTTATTTCAATTAGGTTCCAAGGCAACATTCAAAGTTTTTCACGTAATATTTACATTTAATTTTATTTCAGCTTTATTTCAATTAACAAAAACACCCCTGTGAACAAAAGTTATATTTTAGTATTATTTATATACTATTATAGTATTTATTAATATTATTTAAATTTGCTTCTATTTCATTTTTTTGGGGGTTTTCATCTTAATTTTAAAGAATTGTGCTTTTGATATTTTTAGTATTTTTTTATATTTCTAATTTAATTTTTTTCAGCTTTTATTCTAATTTATTTTTATTTCGGTTTTGATTTGAGTAATTTTACTACTTTAACTTAAGCGTATTTTATTTCAATTAGTTGCCAAGGCAAGTTTGTCATCTAATATTAATATTTTATTTGATTTCAGTTCAGTTTAGCTGAACACATTTTTTTTTATTAGATTTTTTTCTTTATTTCAGTTAACAAAAATGACTTTTTTTAGTTCTAGTTTTAGTTAACAAGAACAATACTGGACATTTTCTTCCTGCACGTTTAATGTTATTTTGTCAACTTCTACTAGTTCACTTTTGCTCATCTGTCATATTTATGTGCATCAGTGGGACAGAGTAATGACGGTGTTTAAACGACACCAAAATAAACCGATCTGATCCACACCAGATCCCAGCAGAAGAGGTTTTATTCAGATCTCAGGTGATTCTGTGTGATGACTGTCTAACGCTGTGTGTGTGATTGTGTTGTGAACGCTGTAGGCCGGCGTTAAACGTCAGAAGACTCTCTCGCCGCTGGTTCAGGTAATCAGATGATTGAGGGAAGCTCATCGCACGCACGCACTCGCTCTCGTGTATGTGTGTTACCCAGCATGCTCTTCTGTCTGGTGCCTGTATCGCTTGCATCATCAGACCGTGAGGTCACATTCTCATCTCTGCGTTCCTCTGAATGAACCTCGCTGTACATCGTCCGCAGACACCAGTTTCTCCTGCACTTCAAAATAACACAACATATGTAGCACGACCAGTGTAGTCTGATTCACAAACAAATGACTCTTATGAATCAGTTCATTTGAAATGAATCACTCAGGCTTCGTTCACGCAGCAAGCTGAAGTGCTCATTCATTGTTTTTTTGCTTGTTTGTTTTTTTTAACATTTGACATGAAATACATCAAACATTGACATGAATTCTGAATTGCTTTGTTTGTTCATGTCTGACTCGAACTGAATCAGCACACACTCCTGTAGGAAACACTGGCGGATCCTGAACGCAAACGCGGCTACATCTGTCTTGAACAAATGTGCTTGGCTTCAGTGTTAATAAATGCTGCTTTACACAGTGAACTGCGTGACTGCTGTGTTTTAATCGCTCTGCTGTGTCTGTCTTCTGTTCTGTGAGCAGAAGCTGCATTTTACTTTGGTAAAATAAATATTCAAACCACGTGTGTTACAACTAAACGGTCGGGCTCTAGTTAAATTGATAAAAAGTGATAGTAAAGACTTGGAAAAGATTTCTGTTTTGAATAAATGCTGTTGTTTTTACATTTTTCATTCATCAAAGACTCCTTAAAAAAAGTATCACAGGTTCCAAAAAATATTAAGAAGCAAAAACCTTTCCAGCACTGATAATAAATCAGTATATTATAGTGATTTCTGAAGATCATGTGACACTGAAGACTGGAGGAATGATGCTGAAAATTCAGCTGCACATCTCAGAAATACATTACAGTTTAACACATATTCTCATAGAAAACAGCTGCTTTAAATTCTAATAATATTTCACACTATTACTGTTCATATCCTGTATTTTTGATCATATAAATGCAGCCTTGATGAGCAGAAGATACTTCTTTAAAAAACATAAAAAATCTTACTGATCCCAAACCTTTGAATGGCTGTGTGTGTGTGTGTGTGTGTGTGTGTGTGTGTGTGTGTGTGTGTGTATGTGTCTGTGTGTGTGTGATTCAGATCGTGCTGGTGGGCTCAGAGGAGGGTCTGTACGCTCTGAACGTCATCAAGAACTCTCTCACACACATCCCAGGACTCGACTCTGTGTTCCAGATCCAGATCCTGAAGGAGCTCGACAAGCTGCTCATGATCACAGGTCAGTGTCCGACTCTCATTCACATGTGTGTGCCTTATTGACAGGTGATAGTGTGCTGTAATAGCAGAATACATCAGTCTAGGTGGTTTGAGTCGGGTTAGTTAACCGCGTGTGTGTGTGTGTCAGGTGAGGAGCGCGCTCTGTGTCTGGTGGACATTAAACGGGTCAAGCAGTCTCTGGCTCAGTCTCATCTGCCGGCGCAGCCTGATCTCAGTCCCTATGTCTTTGAGGCGGTGAAAGGCTGCCACCTCTTTGCTTCCGGAAAGGTAAAGTGACCATCAACAGTCCATCTGATGCTCTTCCCAGTCATGTGACCCAGTCTAATAGAGGCCCTGTGTTTGATGCTCTAGTTATAAGTGAATGGAATCTCCTCATGTACTCAGAAATACATCTCATTATTAAAGTGAAATGGGTTTCAAACTGTGTTTCACACTGACTTGTATTGAACCTGGAAGCTTCCGTTGTAGATCTGTGAATGTATAGTGTGTCCCAGTGACTGAATAAATGTCCTGTAGCTTGTCATGATCGTGGCTGGTGATTTTGTACAAACAAAAGCTTGTTAGACACTAATTGCTGGTTAGGACCAGTGTTATTTTAGTATTTTTTATATATACTATTATGGTTTTTATAATATTTTGAATTAGCTATTTTTTTCAATTTTCAGTTTATTTTTTATTTTACATTTTAGTACAATTTAATTACGTTAGTCATTTTAGTTACAACTTTAACTTATTCTCAACTTCAACTTATTGTATTTCAGTTAGTTGCGAAGGCAACATTTCTCATTTTCGTTAGTTTTTTATCTATATATTTTTTTATTTCAGTTTTAATTAATTTAACAAAAACACCCCGTTACCAGAATGGTGTTAACAGTGTTATTAGTATTAATTCTATACTATTTTATTAATATTTTGAATTAGGTTTTTTTTTTTTAGTTCAGCTTTTTTTCTCCGTTAGCTGCCAGGGAAAAATTTCACATTTTCGTTTAGTTAGTTTTTATTTAATATTTAGATTTTTTATTTATTATATTCCATTATGGTTTTTATTAATATTTTGAGGTAGCTTTATTTTTATATTTTCATTTAAATTTTAGTACAATTTTGTAACATTTTAGTACAGTTTAGTTACATTAGTAATTTTAGTACTTCAACTTATTTTATTTCAATTAGTTGCTAATTTTAATTTGTTTTTAAGTGCAAGTTGTTCAACTAATATCTATATTTTATTTTATTTCAGCTTTATTTCAATTAACAATTATCGTTGATAATTATACAATAACAATAAATATTGTTTTTATCAATGTTTTGAATTAGCTTCTACTTTTCTTATTTTTAGTTGAATTATTTTTTTTTTGTACAATTTAACATTAGTAATTTTAGCACTTAAACAACAGTTTACAAATATTTTAGTTTGATTTTTAGTAATTTTGTTGTGCTTTTATGTACTTTTTTTTTGTTTTCAGTTTTAGTTTAGTTTTTAAGTTTCACTCTATTATAATGAAAAACATTTTTTAATAGTTAATAATGAGGACACGTGTACGTCTGATTATCGGTTTACTGAAGACTGAAGAGTGTGTGTGTGTTTCAGATCGACACATGCATGTGTATCTGTGCCGCGATGCCCCATAAAATCACCATCCTGCGCTTCAACGACACGCTCAACAAGTTCTGCATCAGAAAGGTGACGCATAAGAAGCTCCTCATGCACGTCACACACGTGTGTTCATTCCTCCCTTCACGTGTGTGTGTCCGCTGCTCTTCTGCAGGAGATCGAGACGTCTGAACCCTGCAGCTGCATCCACTTCACCGGATACAGCATCATCATCGGCACCAACAAGTTCTACGAGATCGAGATGAAGCAGTACGTGCTGGAAGGTGAGATGATACACACACACTCACTCACTCACTCACTCACTGCGTGTGTGAACTGTACGAGATGCTGAAGGTGTGTGAGAGTCTGTGTTTCACTGGTGTGAGTGTGTGTGTGTGTCGTTGTTTGCAGAGTTCGGTGTGTTTGTGGACGCGTACGGCCGCAGGAGTCGCAGCGATGACATCAAATGGAGCCGCCTGCCGCTGTCCTTCGGTAAAACCTAGATTTATTCATCAGCTGTAAGTCTATAGAGAGCTGACGATGGATTCATTTGATAGTTTAGAGCTGTGCGATTCAAGTGTGACATGGGAAAGCAAAGCAAATCACAAAGGAAAGCATTTACAAAAACCAACAAGCCAAAACACACTCCAGTCATTCATGTTTAAACGCAAACAACGATCCATATCATGATACATATTAGGCCTACTCGATTATGGCAAAAATCTTTTAATCACAATAATTTAACATAATTACTCACTGACTTTGTAAACATCATCCATTTATTTACCATTAGAAAAAACAATTTTTTTCCTTTGAACTATAAATATAATTCAACTGAAAATAATACATGAATAAATATAATATTTAGAATAAATTATAAATAATTAAATTATAAATTATTATTATAGATAATCATTTATTATGTAAATAGTTATAAACTATAATTGTATATAATATATTAAAAATTATGTAATATTAATATACATATATAAATAATAGAATTAAAATAATAATTAAACTGAAAAACAAAAAAGGAAAAATATAAATGTATTTATAATGTATATATATATATATACTGTATATGTGTGTGCATGTGTGTGTGCATATTTATGTTGAATATTATAAAAATATTTGTAATATAATATGTATGTAATTTGTCTTGATTGTATTATTTTCATAATTGTTGAAAGCAAAGATTCAAAGATTTCAAATAAAATTGCATTAATCGCCCAGCCCTAATCCATATTTACCTGCTTAGATGCAGCAATCTGACAAAAACAGACTTGTTTTTAAGCACAGTTGTTTCAATTTAAAATCTTGTTTCATGTCAAGATTTGTACTTCCACAAAGACAGATGAAATCAATTAAAGTATGTACTGAATTAATTCATGTTTCTGGTCTTATTGTGAGCGACTCATCAGTGCATACCATTATAAAGAATCAATGTTGTTGTAATCTAAAATGGAAATAGTTAAGTGAGAGTTAATATCTAGTTCTGATATGAAACACACTTTACACCGTCCTGTGTGTTTCTGCACAGCGTACCGAGAGCCGTACCTGTTTGTGACCTACTTCAACTCTCTGGACGTCATCGAGGTTCAGAGTCACTCTGCGCTCGGGTAAAGCTGCCGTCCACTGGATTGTGTGGTTTTGTTCCTGATGTTTGTTAGAGACACACTGTGTGTGTCTGTGTCTGTGTGTGCTTGCGTTTGTCTGTGTGTGTGTGTGTGTGTGTGTGTGTGCGTGCGCGAGCGTGTGTGTGTGTGTGTGTGTCTGTGTCTGTGTGTGCTTGTGTTTGTCTGTGTGTGTGTGTGTGTGCATTTTTGTGATTTATGAGGACACAAATTTGTATAATGACATGGGTATTACAACAAGAAGGTGATTTATGAGGACATTGAGTGTCCCCATATTTCAAAAGGCTTATAAATCATTCAGAATTAGTTTTTTTGAGAATGTAAAAATGCAGAAAGTTTCCTGTGAGGGGTAGGTTTAGGTGTAGGGTAATAGAAAATACGGTTTGTACAGTATAAAAACCATTACGAATGTCCCCACAATTCACAAAAACAAACCTGTGTGTGTGTTCAGGCCTCACGCTTACGCTCATCTGGACATTCCTAACCCGCGTTACCTGGGTCCGGCCATCTCATCCGGCGCTGTGTATCTGGCCTCGTCCTTCCAGAACAAGCTGCGTGTGATCTGCTGCAAAGGCAACCTGAGTCAGGAGGTATCGGCGGCAGAAGCGCAGAGAAACGGCTCCACACGCAGGTCAGTGTGAGCCTAACGTCACTCATGCATCTCATTTCACTGGAGGAAGCTTCACTAGGAGCAGACTGATTCTTTGGAGGGCTGACAATATGGGAAAAATGCTGATTTCCTATCTCACTCCCATTGAGTTCAAAGCATCAAAGCTTCCCACAAATGCAAGCTGCAGTTAACCATTATATATATATTCTACATGGTTTTGTAAGCTCAGCGTACATTACACAAGCACACTCATATACCCCGTGACCGCTAGAATTTAATGCACAAATAAAAGCACAGACATTTGCATTTGTACCCTGCATCGAAAGCATAAATGAACACGCAGTTGCGTCTTTAATAACTTTTAAAGCTTGTTTTGCGTTGACTCTTGTTTGTGTCAAAGACTCAGGGTATATGTATGTGCGTTGATGCCACGCAGAAACTCTTACAGAGCAAAAGCAAACACTCCTCTTCGTCTCTCACTGTGTGTGATCTCACAGTCTGTCAGGAACTCGACTCGTGCAGTCGTTCATGATTAAGTGAAGCGTTTTCTCTTAGGATAAGAACATGCAATCTCATGAATAATTACCTGACACTGATGCAGGACTGTAGTCATTTGCCGCATCACAAATAGTAGATTTGTACATTTTAAACCCGGAAGAGGAATATGGCGCAAAAAATGCTCCAAATTAACCAGTTTTCTCCTACAATTAAAGTGAGTGACGTGACATGTGGCCAAGTATGGTGACCCATACTCGGAATTAGTGCTCTGCATTTATCCCATCCAAAGTGCGCAAAAAATTTTCAGCATCATTAGTCCAGTCTTCAGTGTCACATGATCTTCAGAAATCATTTTGATATGCTGATTTATCATCAGTGCTGGAAACAGTTGATGCACTGTGATGCATTTTATTTTTCAGGATTCACAGATGTATAGAAAGTTCAAAGAGTTTATTTGAAGTAGAAATCTCTAACCATTAGGCCACGACTTCCCCGTTACAGGGGATGCAAAGCCGAGGCTAACTTTGTCTTTCATAATGTGCAGCACAAGCAAGTGTGGTTTAGTGTTTCGTAACCCATTCAAATGTTAAATCATAGAGCTTTTGTTTTAGAGGAAAACTGCAGGGAGATCTTAAAGCTTCTGTTTTGTTGATTTATCAGTTATTCTCGTAACAAATTTGGAAGATAGTTGACATGTGTTGCGCTTTCAAAATGTAGAAAAGTTTGGGATCAGTAAGACTTGTAATGTTTTTTAAAGACGTCTCTTCTGCTCATCAAGGCTGCATTTATTTGACCGAAAAAAATGTATTATTGTGAAATATTATTGCAATTTAAAATAACGGCTTTCTATTTTAATATACTTTAAACTGTAATGTATTTCTGTGATGCGCAGCTGTATTTTCAGCATCATTCCTCCAGTCTTCAGTGTCACATGATCTTCAGAAATCAGTATAATATGATGATTTATTATCAGTGCTGGAAAGTTTTTTGCTTCTTAATATTTTTTTGGAACCTAAGATACTTTTTTCAGGATTCTTTGATGAATAAAGTTTAAAAAAAGAACTGCATTTATTCAAAATAGAAATCTTTTCTAACAATAGAAGTCTTTATTATCACTTTTTATCAATTTAACACATCCTTGCTGAATAAAAGCATTTCTTTCAAAGAAAGAAAAAAAATACTGACCCTAAAGTTTTGACCGGTAGTGTATATTGTTAGAAAAGATATCCATTTTGAATAAACGCTGGTCTTTTTAACTTTTTATTCATCAAAGAATCCTGAAAAAAGTATCACAGGTTCCAAAAAAATATGAAGCAGCACAACTGATAATAAATCAGCATCTTAGAATGATTTCTGAAGATCATGTGACCTGAAGTCTGGCTGTGATTGGTCCAGAGGTTCTGACTGTGTTTCTCTTCTTTCCAGGAAAAAAAGCGCTTTCTTTATTTGTGTGAAAGGTTTTAACCTGTGAACTGAGTGATGAATAGTGTTTTTAAGGAGAATATTCTGAACCACTGAGTGTGTGACTAGATGTGATCATTATAATCAGGTGTTTTGGGAAGCTCTTGTACTTAATTTGACTTGCTCTCCTTTTAGCATGTTATTTGAAAGCATAAATGTGTTGGAAGTGTGCTGTTAGAGGGTAAGTAACTAGTCATGTGATTTAACCGGTTCAGTAGCACATGAATCTGAACCTTCACTGGTCTGATGGGCGAGTGGTTTATTATGAGCTCTGGACGGGTCACATTCATAACTTTAGAAATATATTTCATCTCTTCTCACTGGTGAACTCTCTTCTGTGTGTGTGTAAGCCCTCAGTTTGCTATGGACATTAAATTCAGTTCTTCCATGTTATTCTATAGTTCTGTTCAATTCGGAATCGCTGACAACTCTATATATCACATTATATATTGAATATACTGTACACTAGCTTTCAGAAGTTTGGGGTCGGTAAGATTTTTTTAATGTTTCTGAAACAAGTCTTTTCTGCTCACCAAGGCTGCATTTATTTGATTTAAAAAAAACAGTAATTTTGTAATATTTTTAATATTTTTGTAATTTATTCCTGTGATCAAATCTGAATTTTCAGCATCATTAGTCCAGTCTTCAGTGTCACATGATCTTCAGAAATCATTTTGATATGCTGATTTATCATCAGTGCTGGAAACAGTTGATGCGCTGTGATGCATTTTATTTTTCAGGATTCACAGATGTATAGAAAGTTCAAAGAGTTTATTTGAAGTAGAAATCTTTTGTGACATTATAAATATCTTTACTGTCACTTTTGATCAATTTAATGTGTCCTTGATGAATAAAAGTACTAATTTCTTTCAGAAAAATATCTTACTGACCCCAAACTACTGTATTTGTGAGTTTTATTCATATTTCAAATAACATCTGCATTTCTTACTACTCACTCATGTATACAGTTGTAACATTAAATGTATATACAACATATATGGTACATTATTGTGAAATAACCTATGAAAATCATCTTCGCTGATGCATTTGCTTTGAAAATAAAGTGTAAATGAAAGAAACTGACTATTAAAACAAGCTGAGCTGAACACAACTTTGAGGTATTTTGCTGGAAGCTGGTGTATTTCTCTGCTCTCGATGAAGGCGACTGACTTTGACTCTTTCTTGCCGGTCTCTGGCAGCCCAAACAAGCGCGGCCCTCCCACCTACAACGAGCACATCTCCAAGCGTCTGGCTGCTATGCCCGATGTACAAGAAGGCCTCCACCAGCCCGGGACACCCCACCGCTACCGCGAGGCTCGCACCGAGTTCAGGCGGGACAAGTCTCCCGCGCGGCCCCTGGACAGAGAGAAGTCCCCGGGCCGGCTGGAGCGGTCCCCCGGCAGGATGATGGACCCTCGGCTGGACCGCTCGCCGGGACGAGTCATGGACCTGCGCAGGGAGAGGTCACCCGGCCGCACGTTTGAGGAGCCTCGCCAAAGACTGCACACGGGATCAGCTCGAACCCCCATCAACACTGTTAACAAGGTCAGGACGACTAAACACACACTCACTCTCACACACGTACACATGCACACTCAAACACACACAGGTTTGTTTTTGTGAAAAGTGGGGACTCTCCATAGGCGTAATGGTTTATAAACTGTACAAACTGTATATTCTATTGCCCTACACCAACCCTACCCCTAAACCTACCCCTCACAGGAAACTTTGTGCTATTTCAGATTTTCAATACACTCCATTCTGTGTGATTTATAAGCGTTTTGAAAAGTGGGGACATGGGGTAATGTCCTGAAAAGTCACCTTCTCCTTGTAATACCTATGTTATACCTTTGTCATTATACACATTTATGTCCTCATTTGTCACAAAAACACAGTCACACACGCACACACACACACACACACACTCAAACACACATACTCACACACTCATACACTCACTCACACACACACTCTCACACACACACACACACTCACTC